ATAGATGGGATTGTACTTTGGATATGATGCTCACCAGCCAAGGAGGTGTTGGTCACATAATCTGAACTGATTGCTGCACATACATAAATGGTTGTAAATGGTTGTATTTATATAGTGCTTTTCTAGTCTTGATGACCACTCAAAGCACTTGACACTACAGTTTGCCATTCACCCATTCACACACACACACACACACACACACGAAAACTGAGGAGAAGCGTCTAAAAAGCCAGTTCAACAGAAATCAGCAGCATCGGGGCTGGGGTCACAGCTGTTGTCATAGCAACCTGAGGTACTGCACCATAAAGACTTCCTGCGTGAAGCTGACGATGACACGTTGCCTTCAAGGTCAAACGAGGTCAAACGAGGTCACCGGCAACAGGAGCATCACACTCAGAACCACAGTGAGCGTTCTGCACTACAGTTATCAACATTACAAAGTGATCACACAAGTACAATTAGTGTGTCTGTATCTGGGCTTCACCTTAACACCGTGTCCAGTAGGAAAACCATCCAACTGAAGCATTAAAGTGCCGCTGGAAACAAAACACAGAAGATTGTTGAGCTGATTTACAAGTAAACTCCATTCGTATTATGATTCAACAGGTTCTGTGAAAATGTGTTGAAGAAGAATACTTTGTAATTAAAACAGGTTTCTATCGTCATTAATAAAAATCTGACACAAGGCAACTCGTCACTTCAGTGTCATCAAACCATTATCATGCTACAAACAGCTTCACTCCATCAGGACACAGTTCAGGACACTCTGAATTAGTTCATGCAAAATTCAAATACAAAATTCAAATAACAAAAGTTTCATCAACTTGATTGCAAACCAAATAATGAGACTCAAACTGATCTAGTCTAAGATCTGTCTGTTATGATCGTTATTGTTCAGTTGTTTTACTTCATTCAAGTTTATCTTTACTTTTTAAATGTATGTCACTTATTCACTTACTTCACTAATCACACTTCAACTACATCAGTGACAATGAAAATAAGTTATTCACATAAAATCAGTTCAATTCAATCAAATGAAAAAATATTTAACCAAACAATCTGAATGTGACTGAACGAAGGATGTTTAACTAAAAGAAATGACATGTCACTGTTGTTGTGAGGAAATAATCTGACAGATCGAAATCAAGTTAACATCAGAGTGAACCGGGTTGGAAGCATTTCTAGAACTTTGTGATTAAACTGAATTACAACTTGAACCTGTTCAATGTATCTGAGGACTCACCACCTGGCTGTGGGACTGGACTCCACCCCTCTGTGCTGCCCTGTAACACAGAACAATCACACACTTATGAACCCAGTTTAAAACAAACCAATCGTCATAGATTCAATGTCGGCTCACAAACAAACAAACGACAATCTGATTCTATATTAATACATATTGAAAATGCTCAAAACAACCATCTATACACAAAAACCACAGAGACCTTTTCCTTCAACCTGTTTCTGTAACTTCTGTCAGGTCTTATTATAGATTTATGTTCTCTTGGTCTTATTTAATTCATTAATTGATATTTTTCTGTGTGATTTAAAGCATTTATACAAAAACCCATCAACCTTAAATGCACCTCTTCCAGCATATTAAAAATCATTGACAAAAAGAAAACCTTACATCCGACATGTTTCTACTGGAGCTGCAAAGTAAAGTCCACTCGTGTTTAATGAAGTCATTCTAGAGTGAACGTGTCAAACACTCCTGGTTTCTGCAGATGAGAACATATGATGCTTTTCTTTGTCATATTTCACAGGAATAGAAAATCAATGAATAAATTGAACATGGAAATGAATCAGTTTGAGCTGCGAACAAGGCT